TGAGATTATAATTTCATTAAAAATAATTAAAATTACACATATCATAGTAATTTCAAACTATAACTTATAAGGAATTATCGTTACATTGCAAATTATGTCTCGGAAAACATCATGGTCAACTGACCATGAGGTCATGTGATCAGTGAAATGACACTTATCTTAAAAATGAATAATGGTCGTTACATAGCCCAAGTCATGGACGCGCCGCGCTCTACCATCCACGATGTCCTCGTGGTCACGTACTGGTCGACCGAGATGTACCACAGTTGGAGATGAACGTTTTATTGCCATTACCGCACGACACAACTATAATTTAATAACTTTCTGGTTAGCTAATCAGTTTAAACAGTCCGTAATTTAAGGGTGAGCTTTAAAACAGTCATACAAGGCTTTGTGAGAAGATCTAATCTATAGATTACCCGTTTCAAGTTTTCTTCTGCTGGAGGGGATCGAGAAGGACGGCGAATATTCGCAAATCAGCATCACGATTGAACACTTGAAAAATGGGGGCTGTTCTCTTCACAGAGGGGCACCGGTTTGGATTGCTTTTGACAATCAGATGACCGAGACGACCGTGTGTGGATAAGACGTGGAGAACGCTTTGGTTCATGTGCATTGCGTGAGACACAGCCTTTTCAAAGGCAGTCATTTACCGTATGGAGTGGAATCCAATGGTTCATACTCTTAGTGAACTGATTATCATACAGAATGGATCACTAAGATGCACACTGCATTTCAATGCCCGTTGACTTCTTGATATTTATTTTTATTGATTATTTGTTTTTATTTTTATCGTTATTATATTTTTTGGAAAAAGAAAGGGAACCAGGCTCAAAAAAGGCCGCCAAGCACCGAGTGGACCAGGTCAATGGGAGGTGGTGGATGCAAATCGTGTTCCATTCTTTGTTTCTCTCCCTCGCAGGCCGAGTTAGGGACTTCCATGGACTTTGAGTAAACACATCCCTCAAGCTTGGGATTGTTTTTGAATTCTTATTACGCATGAGAATGTTATTCGAGTATGGGTCTCGTAAACATTATAGTGCCGTCAGACTATCAGAAGTAATTACAAATTTTTTCATGTTCCAGACAGTAGAAAGGTCACGCAAGGCTAGCACTATAGCACATATTTCAGCATTATAAGTGCTGCATTTGGAATGGAGTTTAATCGAAGATATTTTCTCAGTTACATACAATCTTTGTTCTGGCCTATTTTGGAACCATTCGTTTATATTTCGATGGAGTCTGATTATGTTTAATTGCATAAAGTCCATATATATATATATATATATATGAAAACAAGGTCCCAGAGGTTTTATATGATTGGACCTGACTACAATTATTTTATTCATCGATCAGGCACCTTTTTTAGAATATTCCATTCAAATATTCAATTCAAACCAAAATAAATACGAGACCAAATATTAATTAAATTTAAATCTTCTATTACAATTTATTTCCAAATAAAATTAAAATTTCTGTTAATAATTATTATTTTTAATTTAAAGAATCTTTTATTCTATAAGAAAACCTATTTCAAAATCTACAAACATCAACTTTAAAATCGAATTTAATTCTCATTTTATAAAGAAAAGTAAAAGTATTGGTAATTATTATTATTAATTATTGACCACCATTTAGAAAATACAATTAATATTTTAACATAACTTTTAAAATCAAATGTTATCTCTTTTAGTTTTCTTTATAGAAATATATTTTTTGTTACAACCCTTTTTAAATTAAAGTACAATTATTATTTTTTGCATTGACGTCAATATATAAAATTTACTCACTTGAATTGTGTGCACACCAAATTTTCTTAATTACAAATTAACAGCTCTTAATCCACAAAGGACAGAAAGGGAATCGTTTTTTAGACTGAAAAAATAGCCCTTTCCTATCCCCTACTCCTTTCACCGTCAGATGTATGTGGAGGGGCATGGCGGTACATTCAAATCGAAACGTGACATATATATATATTCATTACTTGATATATTTTGCTTATTCAATATTGATACTTCAGAATTAAATAGTAATAGTTCTGTTAAGTATATGGAGACTATATTAAAATATCTGGTAATGAATCTATTTCTTCTTAGCATTGTTAAACTCTGTACATAAAGGGGATGGTAAATTTTAGATGTTTCGGTACAAATTAATGGTAGATTCAAACAGTTCACATCCAGCTAAAGAATGTCCCACATTAAATTTCAGGTTAATGTAAAATCTGAGGACAAGATCTTTTATTCGAGTTTGAAGGCTGGGTTCTCCACATTCAGCTAAAGTGTTGACTATAGATCTGCTTAAAAATGCCTCTATACTTATTTTTAAAGTTTTATTATGAATAGGTTCCAGAATTTGGGTCACATTCTTTTTCGATTATTATACTCTATAAAGCTATAATCTATTCACGTTCGTATAAATGCCTTGTAAAACTTGATCCATTGTATGCCTATCTGCCCCCAGCTAGTGTTACTCAATGCAAAGTAGAAATGATAAATGATGAAGTAAGTGTGGTGTTCAATCCTTTTTAAAAAGATAGTTCCTACTCACAGTAAGTTATTTTGCCACGATCCGGATTTCGACCCCTTTAGATCATCATCAGATAGAAGGCATTCCCAACCTGATGATGAGCTAAAGGGCTCGAAATCCGGATCGTTGCAAAACAACTTACTGTGAGTAGGACCTATCTTTTTAAAAAATAAATACAAAGTATATTTTTTTATTTGTATATTTATTAACCTATAACACATTCCTTTTATTTATTTAATGTATGGCTGCCAATTTAATTTTTTGTCAAACAAAATCCCTGAAGTGAAGAAAAAAAGGACAGAAATAGGTTTAAGGTATAGACAACTATACTGGTTGATAGGACGTGGCTCCAATCTTGCTATACAAAATAAAATATTATTATATAAACAAGTCATAAAGCCTATGTGGACATATGGTATTCAACTATGGGGTTGTACCAAACACAGCAATATCAAAATCATACAAACACTCCAAAATAAAATCTTACGTAACATGGTCAATGCACCTTGGTACATAAGGAATAAGGACTTACATAGGGATCTTAAGATCCCTGAAGTCACGGCGGAAATACAAAGATTTGCCGCCAAACACCAGGCTCGCCTCAGCCAGCACGAGAATGTGGAAGCAACTAAACTCTTACATTACCGAAACACGATCAGAAGATTAAAAAGAACAAAGCCATATGAACTTGTGTAGTTATAAGTGAATAGTGAATAGTGAAATGTAAATCTTATTGTACCAATGGGTTTATAAGAATGTAAACATTTATTTATTGTATAATATTATTGTAAAATTAATGGTTGGTCTAATAAGACCAGTTTTAATAAATAAATTTAATTTAAAAAAAAAATTCCTAAGAACATAATTATGGGGGTAATTTTTATTAATTGATGCTTATAATAAAGCCTGGATTCCCTACAACACCCTTTTTAGCAAAAAATTTTGCTTGTAACTTTAGTCGTGATATTTTAAAAACCAGCATCTTCAGTTTGTGTTAGTGTTGCCTCGGAAGTTTTCAGCTCCATCCATATTCTTATGTGTCGAAAATAAGGCTAAATTTGGAGTAGTCATTACCAACCCTCACTCTAAATGCCCTATTGCTTAAAACACTTTTAATGAAATTTAACATTTTGCCATTCCTCCATTTTTTGCAATATGTTTTGTATCTGTTGTATTGCAGTCAAAGGCTTTTTCAAGGTCTAAGAAGGTCGCGACTGTCTATTTTCTCTATTTATATATGAATTTTGTATTTAATTTTCTAGTATTTTCGATTTGGAAGATCATCGTCTATATATGATTAATGCAAGAGAGTCCCCTACCAAATCCTGCCTGTTGTTTTATGAAGAAGCTAAGTGTCACCTAGGCACTTTTTCTTCTAGGTAGATCCTATTATAAAGTTGTGGGAGCTGTGTTTTAAAAAGTTTGGGAGATTTTCTTTAGCATTTCATACGGCACGTCATCATCAGGTCCATAGGCTGTGCCTTTACCCTTGCCAAAGTACATTGATTTACGTTCTTCCGCAGTAAAAGGAAAGTCTAACGAATTATTTAGTTCTATCACGGTGGGAGTTATTTCATTTTCAATTTTGTTAAATAAAAATTATTTATCGTAATAGCTATTAAAAGAACTGAAAGAAAATTGTTTACCGTTTGGTCATTCATTGGGGTTTATGACTACATTTCCATCAATGTATAAACCAATGATTGTGGGGTGTATATTTTTTTAGATTGATCTGACGTTTCCACCTAGTAATGATGGCGGAGTATGTGATTCAGTAAATTTTACCCAAGACGATTTACGAGCTATTTCGAAAATCTTTTGCGCTTTTGCTTTCTCTATTTTATATTTTTGCAAATTTTCTTGTGTTGACTCCTTGTTAATCTGCAGCTAGTTTCTTTATTGTGTATTTTTATTGGCGATTTTTAAACAGGAAGTTTCGCCTTTTATTCGGGTTATCCAAATAAAGGTCGAAACGTGGGCCAAAAAAAAAATACAAAGGTGTAAAAATATAATTTGAAAAACCTAACCACATTTTTTGCAATACATGAATTGACATTTGATATTTTTTATTAAATAAATAATATTGTAAAAATTAATAGTTTCTTCCCCTTTTGACCATTTGTATTTCCATGTATAATTTAACTATCGCTTTTCACTTGAGTTTGTCCTTAAATTTCATTCATTATCAGAAAACAATTAACATCTGTTGGTATGCGAAAAGGTAACCTTTTCAGGTACAGAAGTTCACTGCTGGAACTATGATCTAGCGCTGAGCTTATGTGTCGCCACCATCATTTTACTCCATAGAATAAATTGACCCTTACAACTTTCAAATAAACTAAGTTTAATTGTTTACAAAACGATATTATATTTCTCATTTAGTGATGAAACAATTTATTCTTTGAATAAATGAATTTTACTTAGGTTACTTTATTATGTCAAAACGTAAATGTGACGACAAATTTTCTTACCGACTGTTATCATGTCCCCATGTCCGGAAACGGTCTGAAAAGAGGGAGCTTCCGCCGATACCTCGCATCTGTACCTCCCGCTGCTCGAAAGATCCAATCTCTTCAGGGCTACTTTCCAATCGTTAGACCCGTTCAGCTGTAAAAAAAGAAAATTATACATACGTCGGATTTAGGACAGTAACTATTAAAAACTAAGAGACACATGATGTATTGTACTGTTGCATTTGAAAATTATTAAATAATAGATATTGATGATATTTTTATTTTATAAACATTGTTGATCGTTTATTTGCTGAAAAAAAAAAAAAAAAAAAAAAAAAAAAAAAAAAAAAAAAAAAAAAAAAAAAAAAAAAAAAGGGAAAATCTTTAAAAATGGCCCCATCTATGATCGATCCATGGTCTGGTGTGATATAGGTTTCAGAAAAACATTTTCTCTATCGTGCCAACGTTTCTATCTTTATTGAGATCATCTTCAGGGCCTGGGATTTACAAACATCGTTTAAATTTAACAAATACTAATATTTTTTATATTCAATCGAAGTGTTTATACTTTGATTGAATGTAAAAAATATTTTTTTTGCATTGCATAAATTCACTTTTTTCCACATCCTACATGTATTTGTTAAATTTAAACAATGTTTGTAAATCCCAGGCCCTGAAGACGATCTCAATAAAGATCGAAACGTTGGCACAATAAAGAAAATGTTTTTCTGAAACCTACATCACACCAGACCGCATCTCACGATTTCCGAATAAACATCGACTAACGGTCACTAATCACCACACATTTTTGGACTGAGGAAATCGATTTGTTGGTGTTCAAAATAGTGGGTAGCCAGTGCTGTAGGATTTTGTTTGGGTTTTTTGCAGTCATAGCTTTGTTGTTTTATTCTATTATGTAGATATTGGAATGCAATTCCGGTGTATGAAGACGGACAATTTGTTCAATTGATTTTGTAAATTACATCAGATCTCTAATCATTAATTAAGGACCACTAAAACTACACATTTCATGATAAGATGACAATACGAGCCGTTTGGTTCTCAATTGTTTGACCTGTTTATTCTATACTTGTTTCTTGTTGGTTGGCCACTGTTTTAGCAGTTCTTTTTATTCATGACGAACAGTAGCTGCCAGTTTGTGAATTCGATATTCGTTTTTCCGAACCATTTGAAATAAACGGCCATTTTTCCGGTGTAAGAAATTAATTTGAATTTAAAAATAAGAATAGATTATTCAGAAATCGTGAGATGCGGTCTGGTGTGATGTAGGTTACAGAAAAACATTTTCTTTATCGTGCCAACGTTTGGATCTTTATTGAGATCATCTTCAGGGCCTGGGATTTACAAACATTGTTTACATTTAACAAATACATTTAGGATGAGGAAAAGTGAATTTATACAATGCAAAATATGTTTTTTATATTCAATGAAAGTATTTCTACTCTGTAAACTACACTGAGTAGAAATACTTTGATTGAAGAATTGAAAAAATGAAGAAAGAATTGAAGAGAGAAGAAATGATATATTTTATTATTGCATATGAAAATAATTAATTGTTACATATTGATTATAATTTTAATATATACACGACTGTTGATTGATTATTGGTCGAGACGGCTCAGATTTTGAATGAGGTAATTTGCTAATGTAACTAATTATGAACTCGCCACGAGTAGCGAATGGCATCCATATGGAAGAACGGTTCACAGTGCAGAGAACTTTGCAAGTAACTGTGGTTTGAACGGGGATCCCGGTAGGACTAATCGTGAGGCGAAAGGGCATCGAGAGTAGCGCCCTTTCCCCCATCTTTTTGACTCCGTTGGACCAAAACTCGGAACATCAGAAATCTAGTGAATGACGAGTCTAACTCCGTGCCATGGATTGCGGTGAACTTTTTCCCCCAACAAGTGCGTACGCGTTCACATCATTGATGGCCGATGCACATGTAGAAGTGATGAAATTTAGCTACTATGACCTCACTAATTACATAGAAGAGGACTGCGCGTTTACCCACAAATATGGGCTTCAACCCGCCGAATTCGAACTATGAATATTGCGGAGCCTTTTCACGTAGGGTACAATTACCAATACTACACATTCCATCCAATTGTTCTCAAACAAATCCAAGACAAATCTAATATGAATTTCCTTATCATTAACATAACAGACAGCAACGTGATGGAGTTACCTTGGTAAACTTTCAGAACATCAGCTGAATCCTGAAGAAGACGACGAATGAATTATTGCTATGAAGAATTTCAATTTATTAAGGTTTTTAGTTGAGATAAAAAAAGGGTGGGGTTGAGATGGGAAGTTAGTGCCCGAGGGGATCGAAGTCACATAGCTCAAGTGGTAAGAGTAGCTGCGTATCAAGCCGAAGATCGTGGGTTCGAATCCCGCTCGTGACACTGACTTCTCTATCTCAACTAAAAACCTTAATTAACTGAATGATATTAATTGATCAAGCGGACCACGAAAACTAGTGAAGTTATGAAGAATAATTCATTGTGTCATAACGAAAGATGTGTGGAAGAAGAAAATGTACTTTTTTGTAATTGCGTGTTTATTGTTTCACTAAATTTCATGCAAAATTTATTAAATTAATTTTGGCAGTAGACTCAAAACTGAGTTGTCATTTGATTTATCATCTGAGTTTGTCATCTGCTGTTGGGTTCAAACGAGTCAGTAATGTATTCGTCTGTCGGTCCAACCGGGCTTCAAATATTGGTTGAACGGTATCGCGTTTCACAATCCTTTGGACCAAACGGCATTTCCTCGGTGTACTCGTGGATTCGTGGCATTTCATTTTGTAAAATTTTCTTAAGTAATTGTAAAATTGTTTTTATATGCGTTTTATTTAATTTTCATTATATTTGATTTTGCGTTTTTTAAATTGCACATTTTTGTGCATAACTTCCGTCATCTAATGTTTAAATTAGTTAAAAGAATAAACATTTTTGTAAGAAAGAACAGTCTTTTTGGAATACAACTAAGGTAAAGCATCCATCATCTAATTTACTTTATTTTTTCGAGATTTCCGACATAGAAGACACAGACATCTCTAAATTCTAAAATAAAACGCAAAATGTAAAAACCCTGGTATAGTAAACGCTGTACGTGTGTTTGTATTAACATTGTCGATCTGGTAGAATTAATTAACTTATGTATTATTGCATATTTTCAAAACCGATTAAATGAGGTGAGTTTCTCCAGACCCGAGGAAACTTTATGTTGTACGGTTGACGTAACATTGTATAAATGAGTTGCATACATTAATCTTTGTACATAATAATAAATAACCTACAGAAAACTTTGCGCTGATAGAAAAAAATAATACATCCTTTCAGCAGCTGAATAAATAAAATTGACTAGAAATTTGAAAGAGTTGTGGCAAGCTATAAATACTTTCAAAACAAAGAGACATATTTGTAGAAATAATATCATTTTCAATCATATTTTAATTTGAATTGAATCTTGTCATTATTAACAAAACTTCATCTCCTACGCTGAACCACATATAGTTGACCCTATTTTGGATGCCCCCTTTACCTCTGCAGAGCTGGAATCTATCCTTGCCAGGCTTAAAAACAATAAATCCCCAGGTCCTGACAGCATTCCTTACGAATTCTATAAAAATTCCCCGCCTGTCTTTCATGAAAACCTTCTGCAATTTTTTAATTCTATATTTTCCTCAGGTCTCATTCCTCCATCTTTTTCGAAAACAATCATTTTCCCCCTATTCAAAAGTGGCGACGTCAATGATGTAAATAATTATAGAGATATTTCTTGCCTGGACTCGATCGGAAAAATTTTCCCTGCTCTAGTCCTGTCCCGCATTGATGCCTTCGTAGTAAGAAAGGGTGTCAAATGGGATTCCGTAAAGGTTACTCTAAAAATGATAATCTTCTTGTCCTGTTAAACATCATTAATATCAAACTGGCCAGGCCTGAACAAAAAGTTTTTAGTTTTTTCGTGGATGTAAAAACCGGATTTGATAGTGTAGATCGTAGAGGACTTTTGTTCAAAATTAGTAACTACAGCTTCTCTTTCAAAATTGTGAATATACTAAAACCCCTTTTCTCACAAACAGCATCAGAGGTCCGAGAGCGTGAAGATTTATTCAATTTTTTTTAGGTTAATTGTGGTGTTAGACAGGATTGTCTACTCAGTCCAGTTCTGTTCGCTCTCTTTCTTGATGATCTCCCCTTGACTCTCAAATGTGGAGCAATAAATAATATAATAATAAAAAAATAACATACATAATAAAAACAATAATAATAATAAATAAATAAATTGTCTAATTCAGGAAGGAAAATACTAGGCCTGATGAGATTCCTCGCTAATTACAATTGGGCAGCGAATAGAGACATTCTTTTAAGAATATACAGCATGTACTTAGGAGCAAAGTTTCGATACGGAGCAGCAGGTTACTCTTCAGCGCGAATATCAACTTTAAAACCTCTAGATAGAATTTATTACCAAGGTATCAGGATTGCAACAGGGGCGTTTAGAACAAGCACTTTATATAGTATCTGCAATGATGCCGGTGTCCTTCCTCCGGAACTTTTCAGGGAGGAAGCAATTCTTAGGTTTGTTGCTAGACTTTGGTCTAAGCCTTTCCATCTTCTATTTCCTTCAGTTTTCCGTAACCCTCACCAAGGTATGTACTCGTCCCTAAGAACTAGGACGAGACCTTTGGGAATCCGCGGTACTGAAATGTTGAGATTAGGAGGGAATACCTTGCCGGCGGTTGAAGGTTTTAAATTGCTAGATATCCCACCTTGGTCATTACCTACTGCCACAATTATCGAAGATCTGGCCTTATTGAACAAAAGAGAAAGTCCTTCTCTGATGATCAAGGCAGAATTCTAGCGAATTTTAAATAATTATCCCAATTATAAAGTTTTTTATACCGATGGGTCTAAAAATGAAAATGGAGTAGGGTGTGGAATATTTGCTGATGAGTATAACTTCAGCTGGTCTCTATCGAATGAGGCTAGCGTATACACAGCTGAACTTCATGCAATCAGAAGATCATTGAGCATTATAAAGGAATCGCCAGGAATTTGTAATGCCATTATTTGCTCTGATCCGAAAAGTAGTCTCGAAGCAATCAAAAATAATTTCTCGGTT